TCAGTGCTGGGATTAGAGGTCCATGCGCCCATGCCCTGCTTTTATATACCTGGTTTTAGCTAAGCTGTTAGCTTTCCTTATGATCCCACCCCTGCTTTAGCTGTCAGTTGTTGGTTTCACACTAATTAAGAACTCAGCATTGGGCCAGCGAGATATCTTAAGTGAGTAAGGTGCATGCCATGAAAGTCAGATTATATGAACTTCGATCATTCCTAGAGATTTTCCTTTATTTATAAATGTGCACATGGGATTTGAAATCACATAAATGATAGCATTTCCCCACTGTGAGGGAAACTGAAGTTCCTCCTGGGTTTTCACTCTGACTGATAACACCGACAGTCTGTACACATGCTTCCTGAGCACATGTACTGGTGATTTTCTGGAATAAAGAGAATGTTGGGGTTCTAAGACTATATATGCACTAAGTATTTCTGTCCCATTGCTTGCAAGTGGCCCTGCAGACTTGCCTCCTACCTTAGGTATGGTGATCCCTGTTTTTGCATCTTCTTGACGGTTGTAATAGTTTCATTTTACTCTTTGTTGATCTCATGGATGGAAAATGGTGTCTCAACTCTGAAAGGATGCCCACAGGCTGTGAGGTTAGTAAACACAGAGTGTAGCTGAGAGGAATTTCAGTATTCATCAGCAAGAAAGTAGGATGGCAGCACTGTTGGCATTTATAAGGATACTGTACTCATTCAGAATGATGGAATGTAGTGGTATGCATTAGTGGAAATGAGTCTCAAGTGCTAAGCAAGTTGCTAGAAAATACATCGCAAGATCTGTATTTAGAAAATCCAAAGCCATGCGAAGTTAATGCACTGTAAGAGACAGGTATCTACAGGTAAAACTGAAAAGGAAAGCCATACTGTTTCATTTAGTTCAGACCACTCTGAGGCATGGCTCTCCAACCCCCAGAAGAGTTCCCAGTAGCCTTGGCTTTGCTGTTCAACAGGCAGTAATGATGTTTAGTCTTTGCTTCTAGTGTTTTTGACAATACTGGTTTCCAGGATCATGATCCCTTTCAGAGTTTTCTGTACCCTTGTTTTCCATGATGTCAGGACACAGGATGTGTATTGTTGGGGGAATGGGTACTTGTTAGCAAGCACTTGGACTTTGTGACTACTTTCTTAATCATATAACCTCCGAGAAAGTGCTGAAATGTTTATATTTAAAGGGTGATATGGAATGGTCCTTGAGATGAGAACCTGCAGAATGGGTGGGACTGGGCTCTGGAGTACTGGGTTCTGCAGGCTAAGGTCAGCAGTTCTCCAAAGATAGCAAATACACCATGACACGTTCCTGTGTCGTCTCTTCCTCCTCGTCTCCATCCTGGAGTTATACTGTAGGGACTTCTCATGGTCTGCATGCTTGCTTTGTCATCATCACTGCTAGGAAATGGTGCTGAGATAAGTCTGCAGAATCCAGAACAAGTAAAGCGTGTTTGGATTTCAGGAGCCATGTTCTCTGTCCCCTCTTGTCATCCCTTCTTCTGCCCTGCCCTGCCCTGCCCCTTCCTCTCTCCCTTTTTATAAGTAATCTAAGTTATATGTCTCTCCTGTAATTGCTACTGTGAGAGAGAGCCAACATTGCTTTTAACTATAACATTCTTCATTTTTTAATATCTTTTTAATTAATCAGTTTAATTAATAGCAAACACATACATACATACTTTTTGTATATACATACAAATACATGCCACAGTGCATTTTTGGAGGTGAGAGGACAACTTTTGTGAGTCAGTTCTTGCTTCCTACGCTGTGGGTCTGAGAGACTGAACTCAGATCCTCAGACTTGGTGGCAGGCACCTTCAACTGAGCCATCTTACTGGCTCCTACCTATTACTATTTTAAAATGAGAGCTTGACTGAGGTGTTCCTAACACTATTTATTTCACCTTTTCATAGGATTGGTGTTTTTTTTTTTAACCAATATAATCACTGAGCTGTACATCTGTCACCAGTATCCAATTCTGAGCAGTTTCATCACCCCCAAATAAAACCCATTAGTAGTTACCGCTCATTTTTACCCATTGACTCTACAGCTACTCATCTATTTTCTGTCACCGTGGATTGGTCAGGTTTGGATATTTCCTGTAAATAGAATGATGATATTTGTGGCCATTCTCTTTCTGGTCTTTTTCACTTTCTGTGATGTTTTCAAGATTCATCCACATTTAGTATCCCATTTCTTTAATTGTTCCGTTGTTCACCATTTTACTCTCTGGGTCCTCTGAGAGTAGACTGTTCTGAACTCTTATGTCCCAATCTGGTTAGATTTGTATTTTTGTTTCCTTGACTGTATTCCCTGTTGGAGAATTTCTGGGTCCTGTGGTAACAGTGTGTTTAACTTTTGGAACGGGTATGGTTGTGTTACACAGGGTTTTTCTGTGTAACAGACCAGGCTGGCCTCAAACTCAGAGAAATCCACTTGCCTCTACCTCTGGAGTGCTGGGATTAAAGGCACGTGCCACCATGGCCTGGCGTGTTTAACTGTTTAATTTACTTTATCTTTTCATTTCCTGTGTCTGTGTGTCTGTGATACGTACATGAGAGTGCAGACATCATCCAAGCCAGAGTTACAGGCAGTTGTGAGCCTCCTGATGGGTGTTGGGAATGAAGCTCAGGTCTTCGGCAAGAGCAGTCTGTTCTTAACCACAGAGTCATCTCCAGCCCTCTAGCCTGCTTTGTAACCTTTTGGGGGGACTACTCGCTGTTTATGGGGTAACTTATTACTTTCCATTTCTACCAGCTGTGTACAGAATCTTGATTTTTCCATCCTCAACAGTGCTGTTTTAAGACTTTAGACCATAACTACCCACTGTGTTGTCTGTGGGGTTGGTTGGGCTGCGTCGATGGCTCATGAGACTGAGCCTCCTTGCATGCTCTTTTCTTACCCATCATCTCCATAACTAGAACTGACTGCTCAAACCCTTAGTTCATTTTAAAGTTGTCTTTTCTTTCATTGATGAGTTGTAAGAGTGCTTTATACATTTTGGACACTTTTCCTTTATCAAATGTGATTTGCAAATGTTCTCCATTGTGTAGATCACCTTTATTCCTGGTGGTCTTTAAAGGACAAAAGTTGTAAATTTTAGTAGTAGTGTTTAAGTGACCTCACTTTCTGGTCCTCCATGCTTTTGTTGTTATAGTGGAGAAAGTGTGGCTTTATTCAGAGGTACTGAAAATTTCCTTCCTAAGTATCAGTTTCAGGCCTGTATATCTGGAGTTCATTTAGTATGTAGCATGGAGCTTTAACTCTTTTTACCCAGTTGTCTTCACTAGCATTTCTTTAAAAAGACCATTTATTCTTCCTGCCCCTGGCTTTCTTAGCCTCCTTTAAAAACATTAATTGGCTTTTTAAAAAATTGCTCAACTCTGAGTTATACTTCATAGAGTTACATGTGTAGTTTTTACACCATCCAAAGGTTTTTATTTAAATAAACATAAAAGGACTGAGGAGGTAGCTTAGTGGCAGAATGCTTGTCTAGTACATGTAAGGCCCTGCATTACCTTCTCAGCAGCACACATATGCACACAAAGACATGAGTGTCGGGGAGGCTGATTCACCCTTGTGCAGGGGCAGACATGCCAGTGCCACATTGCCCAGCTGAAGCTCTGTAGTAGACTTGAGAATCCTATTCTAAAGCTCTTTTCTTCTCAAGAGTTTTGGGTTTTGCTATCCATAATTTTTAAAGGCAGTTCTCTCTAATAATGACTAGTGGGTTTTGTTTTGAGACTACAAATACAGAAATTTAGGTACAGAAAATAACTTAGATTAGAATTCCTAGCTTATGTGAAGCCAGTTCCATTTATTTTGTTTTGGGTGGCTTCCATCTGGTAGTCATTGTGGTAGATCGTGGGACGGAGCAGGGCGCAATAGACAAGATACAGTGCTCCTATATAAGCTTATCTGCCTCTCATGGTTTTGAAGTGAATGCATACTTTGACTGTATATACATACATATCCGTGCTTTTGAATGTAATTATATTTTTGATGTAGCTTCCATTAAGTGGAAAATTTATTCTCTTCCCATGAAGCCCCATCTGTGAACATTCTTCTTGCTTTTTCTCTTCAGTATGAATGAAAATCCAAGTGCCTGGAAGAGGAAGGAGCTCTTTAAGTAGCTGTGTTGAGTCCTTAGAAACTACAAAGAAATTGTATGCTGTCATTACTCCTTTGTCTATACACTGTCTCCTCCTAAAGTTTCCTGGTATTCAAGGATATTATTTTATTCAACGTTCTTATGTCTTGGGTCATTTAACGTTAATCTGAAACTTTTACTGTCTCTTGCCTGAATGATCGGATGGGTCTAGTGAGCCATAAGTGCATGCTCAGGCCATGTGTTGCGTGGGACTGAGTTAGCTGCAGAGCTTCTGTGGGCTAGCTCCTCTGTCCTCAGGGACCTTGATTTCATTGTTTGGTGGGAAGGTGAGACACACTAAATATGATGGATTTTTAAAAGAAGAAATTAAAATAATATCATGGAAAGTGAACTGTGCAAGTAATTTAAGTAATACTAACGTGTGCATGCTAGGACTCACTTTAGTCCACAAGGTGATGAGTGGTAGGGGAGTCTTGAAGAGAAGAGGGATTTCGTCTGTGTTGAAAAGAACTGGTAGGAGAACTGAAACTTGCCGGGTTAGAATGTTACTTGACAGGGTGTGTACACATGGAAATGTGTGGAACTCTGGTACTGTCAGCTTCTGGGTCTGTTCAAACTCCAGGGAGAAAAAGTCAGGAATTTGTCTCCCCAAGTCTCAATAGTACAGTGCAAAGGAAACAGTTTACCTGCATAGAGAGGAAACTAGGGTTTGTCTTTAGTGTGTTTGTGTTTATGGCATTGTAGGGCCTTAACTGGGAAGTATGTGTAGTAGGCAGCTAGAATACCGAAATGGCAAAATTTGGGAACTTAGGCAGAAATTCATATTTGGGTGATTTTGATTATATAACATTTTCTTTTCTCTTAAAGTTTAATTATTATTTTTCTGTTTGTCTTAGAACGAGCCGCTGACCCCAGGTTATCATGGATTCCCAGCACGGGACAGCCAGGTGGGTGTCTGCTGTGTCTAATTCTGTTATGTGTGTTCTGAAAGGGTGATTGAGAGAGAATGGTAACTTTTCCTGGAATTACTTATTTTGGAATATAATATAGTTTGTTCCACCAATGTATTTGCTTTTAGAGATTATATTTCTTAATCCAAAGGTGTTGTAATCATGTTATTTAAATTGTGGATCTTATGGGAGGAACAGTCTCTTATCAGTAATACCTGCTCTGATGCTTTTCATCTCTAGGCTGTGTCATTTTTTTAAACCTGGTTTTCTTGACACCTCTTAGTTCTTAATGCTGAGCTTGTCTCTTGATTTTCTATCATTTGGCTTCTGCCTTCACAGACTATTTGAGTCTTTGCAATAATCTGCAGCAAGACAATTCCATTCTTTTCCCTGGGGTGTTCTTAGCCGAGTTGGTTTTAATAAAGGAAAACTTACTTGAGAGAAAAGAGTTTCTGTTGCCTTGGGTTGTTGGGTTGTTGGTCCTGGGTTGTTGCAGCCTGGGCTGAAGTACTTCCTGTAAGACAGCTTCAGTATAGCCAGTGTGTGAACCCCCAGCCTCAGTATAACTGGTGTGTGAAACCATCAGAGTCGTTCTGGTATTTAAAGATTTGAGCAGACATGACTGGAACAGGGGTAAGGTAGGACACATAAGACCATCCCGCAGTGAAATGGTGTGAACTAATTTCATCTTTTCAGCAGGATATTGATATTTTTCAGGATATTTGAAAGGGCAAATTCCTGATACTTTTTAAGGCTTACTCATGGTTCTTTATAGGGTTGTCCAAAAAGCCACCCATGTTACACCTGTGTAAGGAACACATGAAATGGCAGTGCTAAGTGAAAGATTTGAGTAGTTCCCTGTTCTAGAAGGTAACTGAATCTCATCAGAGTTGCTGAAACCGATCTCACCAGCTAGGATAATCAACAGTCCTCTGCATGGCTGCCTTCTGCATTAAAGAATATTTGCCCTGTGTTTGCATTTTTGCTGGGTTGATATCAGAGTGCCCACAGGTAGAGTAGGAAGGACAGAGGAAGAGTTGTTCCTTTCAGGGTTCATTTTCCAGATGGATCCTTACTGTTGAAATAGAGATGGGAACTTTTATTGAAAGATATGCTCACTGACCCTAAGTCAAAAGAGAATGTGGATGTCATGTGAGTTGGATTTTCTTTTTAGTATAGGTCTGCCCTGGAGATTCTATGGGCTTTGGTATTTCTGACCTTTGATAGTTCTGTATCTTGACCATATATCAGAAAGAAAATGCTTATTCCTGGAGATGAGCCCCTGCAGATTCTGACTGAGCAGGTCCCAGGTTGGGCTTAGTGGTTCTAATGTTAGAAATCACTGCAGGTGGTTCCGTCATGTAGAGAGGGAACTGTAGTGTTAGGGGCTGCTTTACAAGGAGGGATTTCCTCTATATTCTTTTGCTTTTCATCCAAGGTGCTAACATATAAGAGATCATGTTCACTCTCCTAATATAGTCTTAAACAGTAACATAATAGTTTACTGTATATAAAATATTGTCTATTTGAGGATCAGAAGATAGATTAATTGACCAGGGAAATAGACTTCTGAGTTTAAAGGCTCTGAAAGAATGCTGTCCAGTTTTATGTTCCTTTGAGGATTGCAGATCAATGAGAAGCTAAGCAAAAGGACTTACTAAGAAATTGTTGAGGCTTGTAGAGCAGTCTCTGCCCTACAAATCCTTCATTTCTCATTTTTTGCAGCAGGGAGCTGTTTGTGCTCATTTCTTGTGCTATTGTGCTGTGGATTGATGCAGACCCTTTACCATGGGGCAGAGCTGTTGATTTTACTTGAAACACAGTCTGTTGGTGAAAGGTTTATTTCAGTTTATTTTCTTGGGATTTGTGTTGTACTGTGGCTGGGTTTTTGAATTAGGGATAGTAGAAGAGTGCAAATATGCTGGTATTGAATAGCTGCTTGTTGTATTTGATGGATATGGAATCCAAATAAGGGCTGCTAATTAATGCACCTAACCTGTGAACTCTCACTTGGTGCTTTGAGATTTGGGAGGCATTTATCATTGTGAAACACTGGTCATTGAACAGTCTGCGCTGGGCAGGAACGGAACTTGTGATCTTTACAGCTCCCCAGTGTGGATTGGTTTTAGCAAATCCAGGAGTTGGGGTGGAGGTAGGGTGGTGGGGTGAATTTTAATTGTGAAGCTTTATTTTGTTCTCCCTAATCTTTTGGGATTCTGCGCTAAACATGTCAGAACTATTTCTACCCAGGGCTTTCATCTGCATCTAATCTGATTGTTGTGGAATGCTGTCACCAGTGATTTTCATTTCATCCTCTCAGACATCTCTTAAAATAGACAGGCAAGTGTTCCCTTTGGAAAGGTAAGGAAACAGTAAAGGCCTTCCCCAAGGCTGCAGTTCCAGTCAGTACTTAATCAGATCTTAAACTTCTCTTGTGCTTGTGGTCCTTTCCTTCAGAGTGCAGGTGATTGACACTCACTCCCTCGCTCTTGTTTTTACTTCCATTTAGAGATTTCCTAGACTTTGATGTTTAGCCAGAGATCTAGGTAGGAGTCCATGATAACTGGCTCAGTTCACTATCAACATAGTGGACCAGCATTGCACCATATTTGCAACACGTTCATTATGTTGTAAATGATAAGACACTTATGTTAAAAACCCAGGAAGAAGCTGGGCAGTGGAGGCACCCATCTTTAATTCCAGCACTCATAGGCAGGCAAATCTCTGTGAGTTTGAGTCCAGCCTGGTATATAGAATGAGTTCCAGGACAGACAGAGATACACAGAAAACCCCTGTCTCGTGTGTGGGGGGAGGGGTGCTCAGGAAAGAAAAGCAGAAGCAAGCTCATCTACTGGTAGAAGTTTCTCTTTCTTTCTTTGGTGGTGTTTTGTTTTGAAACAGTCTTTCTGTGTCCATTTCATTAATAAAGTGCTCAAACCCACACTGGTACTTGCTAGTATGGTCTTTCTGTAAAAGTGGAGAAGGCAAATGTGGTTGCAGTTTCTCGAATGTAGAATCAGCTCAAAAAACCTAAATATTTATCAAAGTTGTGCAGGATTTTAGGCTGGTAATGCCATTTAGTGGTTTAGAATCCTAGCTACTGGGTGTTGGAGAGATGGCTCAGTGGTTAAGAGTATTGGCTGTTCTTCCAGAGGATACTGATTCAATTCCCATCACTCACATGACAGCTCACAACTGTCTGTAACTCCAGTTCCAGGGAACCTAACACCCTCACATAGACATATATACAGACAAAGCACCACTGCACATAAAATAAAAATATGTAAAAGAGTCTTAGCTACTGTCATTTAAAAAAATTTTTTTAAAGAATTTATTATGTATATGGTGTTCTGCCTGCATGTGTACCTGTAGACCAGAAGAGGGCACCAGATCTCATTACAGATGCTTGTGAGCCACCATGTGGTTGCTGGGAACTGAACTCAGGACCTCTGGATGAGCAGCCAGTGCTCTTAAGCCCTGAGTCATCTCTCCAGCCCCTTAAAAATGTTTTTATTAGCATGTATTGTTTATACATAATAATGAGTTTCAAAATGGCATTTTCTGCATGTATACATCTCCCCTCTTAATTTTACTGACCCTTTCCTCTTCACAGTTCATCCCTCTTCTGCTTTATCCCCCAACCCCTATGACTTAATGGGTTTTATTAAGGTGACTTTTAGGCAACACAGGGTGAGAGGTTATTTACACAAGCATTGCTATATCCTGGGGGGAAAAGGCCCCTCCCCTAAAAGAAGCCATTATTACCTATAATTCCTTACGAATAGGTGAACCTCTTGATTCCAGCCTGCTCCATGATGAATGTTGATGGCCCAGTCTTGTGCAGGCAATTACAGCCTCTGTGAGTTCAAGAGTGCCAGAAACATGTCATACCCGGAAGATTGCATTTTATAATGCTCCACCCCACTCTCAGTTCTTTTATTCTCTCTTCCCTCTCTTTTGTGATGTCTTGGAGAGGATGACATAGATGTCTCATTTATGGCTCAATGCCACATGATCACTTATTCTCAACATTTTGACCAGTTATGTACGAGTTAACATTGTCCAGCAGAGAGGGGTTCCTCTGATCAAAGCTTCCAGCAGCACTTACTGTTATGGAGTTTCTGCTCAGTTCCACAGCTGCCTCAGAGCCCTCAAGTAAACACTTGGACACTATATTAGTTATAAAGCTGTTGGTCGTTGGCTTGGGTTTCTTATTTGCTAGCTCTGTCTTAATTGTTAACCCATAACTACTAATTCATGTATTTCCATGTGGTCTTATCTTACTGAAAATGCTGGACCTACAACTCCTTTGCCTGCTACATGATGACTGCTCAGCATCTCTGCAGAGAAGAGAGCGATTTCCTGTTTGTCCCTGCTTAAATCCTGATTCTGCCCAGCAATGCCACTTCCTGTCTGGCCAATCAGTGTTGTATTCATTTACCAATAAGAGAAGCATGTACACCGAAGAACATTCCCCATCAACTTACCTATATGGATAAGCATATTTGCTTAGGTAGCAACTTGATATCATATCCATTCAGGAAAAACAATAGTTGTGGCTTCTCTGCTAGAACCTACAACCCTATACCACAACAACAGGCTTTTGACCAGATTTATAGCACCAGGCATGGATTCCTTATGTGGAGTAGATTTGAATCCATCCTGAAGGTGGTTTGTTGGTTGTCCTCATAACGGTCATGCCACTGCACACTAGTGGGCACGCCTTGCCTGGCCATGCTTGGTATTACAGCTCTGTCTACTGCAGATTAGAACTTTGACAGTCTCCCCAGCACCTGAGCTGCAGCTTCTGGCACTGTGCTCAACCCCAGACTGAGGTCTTCATATCCCCTCACCAGAGTGTGTAGTTTCAGCAGCAGGGTCTTAGCATCTGACTCTGGTGGACAGCCAGCTACAATCTGCCATACGTGTGTTTATAAATGTACCTAGGTATAGTAAAAATGGGGCTATTTGTGGGCTTGTATTATTTTTTAGATGGG